AAAAAAAAAAAAAAAAAAAATTTGCATTACATAATAATGGTTTTTCTCCATCAGCAGAAATGTACTTGGTGGACTAAGTGCCACCAAGCAAATAACTGAGTTATAATAAGCACTGGTTCTCTGAACCAATGTTTTGTGAGGAAAAAAAATCGAACTGATATAGGTGAATATTCCTTATCTGAAATGCTTGGAACCAAAAGTGCTTTGGATTTCACGTTTAGAATAGTTACATAATATATAATGACCTCTTTGGGGGGTGGGATCCAAGTCTAAATACAAGATTCATTTATGTTTAAATGATCTTTTTTTTTTTTTTTGGTACCAGGGATCGAACTCAGGCCGCCCTTGTGCTTGCGAGACAGGCACCGGAACCACTGAGCTAAATCCCTGGCCTCTATGTTTAAATAATCTTATACAAACCACCTGAAGGTAATTTATACAGTATTTTTAGCACACCTGCATTGTGACTATGACCCATCATGAGGTCAGGTGTGGAATTTTCCACTTATATCATGCCAACACTTAAAAAGTTTTAGATTATGCAGCATTATGGATTTTCAGATTAGAGATATTCAACCTCTATAATATAGTATTTGAATCTATTAAATGAAATGTTCCATTGACCTCAAATTTTAAAACATAATAGTGTTTATTAGAAACATTCTAATACATAAAACATAAATATAGCATGTTTAATAAAGATTTGATTTTTAGTTATTTTCAATCTTTAAGACTATCAGCCTTAATTTTTGATTGGTTTTCTAGGTTTTCCACAATATCTTTCAGATAGTTCCCATTTTTAAAAAAATGTATATATAATTCTCTTTCCGTTTGATGCAATTTATTAGTTGCCAAAATTTTTCTTTTTGTCTTCACATCAGCAAGAATATCAGTAAGGAGATGATTTAGCTTATTCAGCTGGGATTCAACTTGATGAAATTGCTCTGTTAAGTCCTGAAAAAGGAAAATAAAAATACTTTTAATCAAGAACTTTATTCCTAACACCAATTATAAATTTAAAATATAATTTACAAGGAAAGACTAAATAATTTAGTAACTCCAACAATTTTAGCAATCAATTGCAATTAAATATCTGTAACAGGCTTAGGAATTACTTGTAAAATTAATGACAACAATTTCTGGCATGTACATTAATTCAGTCAAAGCAAATTCTTACTTTCTGAAGAGTATTGGTATACAAACTGATCTATGTATTCATGGACTCAATAAATATTACTAAATGCCTACCATATGCCACTATGTATTTAAGAGACTACAGTTAGAAGGAACAACATTTTTCTCATTGAGTTTATATTCCACTTAATTAATCAAACTTTGTGTTAGCCTAATGTGTTTATTCTAAATACAGGTAGAGAAAAAAATCTTGAAATGAAGACCAGGGCTGGGGATTTAGCTTAGTGGCACCATGCCTGCCTCACAAGCACAAGGTCCTGAGTGATCTCCGGTACCCAAAAAAAGACCAATAAAAGATTTAACTCAATTAAAAAAGTCTCCATTTTACTCTTCCCAGAATGTCTTACAGGACTGAATTACAAGTAACATTCAACAAAAACCATCCTCAGGGCAGGGGATTTAGCTCAGTGGTTCTGCCGCATGCCTCGCAAACACAAGGTCCCAAGTTCAATCACCAGTACCCCACCACCACAAAAAGCCTCATATAAAATACTGCTCAAAACATGCTGGACCCTTTCAATTCAATACATTCAGTTTCCTCAGTTTCTAGCACTTAAGGTACTCTATTAATATAACAAGTTTCCATGGCATTTTGTTTTGTTTTGTTTTGCTTTTGAGACAGGGTATCACTATATAGTTCAGACTGACCTGGAACTCACTATGTAGCCTAGGCTGGTCTCAAACTCACAGCGATCCTCCTGCCTCAGCCTCCCGAGTGCTGGGATTACAGGCTTGCACCACCATGCCCGGCTTCCATGGCTTTCTAATCGATTCTTTTTTTATAAATTTAGCCAGCATTATGAGAGGATCTCAGAAAATCTTATCTCCAACTACCTCACATTCCACTGATTCTCACATGGCTCACAATGCTACAAGTACCTGAAAAGTGCTGTTATGAATACACAAATTCCTGTAACTCACTCCAGACTCATCTTTGAAACAGGGCCAGGAATCGATATTTTGACAGGCTCCCTGCTGATTGCCTATGATCTGTTGCAAATGCCAGTTCAACAGAACAGTACTCCTTAAATTACATTTTTACAGCATCTAACTTTGACATTATCTACATTTAGTGTTTTCCTTTGAGAAAAACTTCATAAACTTGAATACACTGAAAAACAAAGAAATAATCTTTAATTTTAACTAAATAACAAATATCTATAGTTGCTAAAAGACTCCTGTAGATTATCAAAAAATGTTTCATTTCATTAATGAAACTGCAACTAAAAAAATTGATACATTTTATACCATAATGAGGTAGTGAAAAATATTAATAGTAATGATAAGATTATAGAAATTACCATATGATGAATTCTAAGATGCATTTTTTTACATCTTAACATCTGAAATCAAGATGTATCTTATTACAATTGAGAGAATCATAATTATTTCTGACAGGCACTTTTTTTTTTTTTTAAAAGACAGGGTCTCATTATATAGTTCAGACTGCCCTGGAACTCACTGTGTAGCCCAGGCTGGTCTCAAACTCACAGCGATCCTCCTGTCTCAGCCTCCTGAGTGGTGGGATTAAAGGCATGTGCCACCACACCCGGC